ATATGTAATTTTAATTAAATAATTAATAAATTTAAAATTCATTTTTAAATTTTTATAATAATTAATAAAAAATATAATTAATATACTTTTAATTGATGTGAAGGTTAGAAAAATCTATACATAAATCATCAATCTGGCATTAAGTTTAATGCATTTTATATGCCTTTTAATAAAATATTTGGGGAAAGTAAGCAAGATAAAAGGGCAGCTTCGTAGTCCAACACTGTTGAAGTCCTTAGCTACTTCTACACTTGAAAATCCCGAGGATGTTTTCTTGGGGAAAACACTCCGACGCTCAAGTCAGCAATACTCAATATTCTAGAGAGAGATATTCTCAAGGAGTAATTGTAGAGAGAGAAGCGTAGAGATTAATTACCTTTCTCGGAGGTAGTTGGGGGGTATTTATAGCCCCAAGTGTTGACATGCATCTATACATGTAAGCATCTCATTGGTCCACGGGCGCTATTCACGTGGGTATGTTTATACTAGTGCTCCCTCACTTTGGGCTAATGGGTGCCAGCTTAGGCCCATTATGTAGGGCCTAAATTGGATGTTGGGCCTATTCCAACATTACTCCCCCCTCGGTGTTCGGTTGACGAACTGGGTTGGATGTGTGTATGGCCCAACATTTGAGCTAGTGATTAGGACAGATAGCCTTAGCAGCTCGCGCCCGACCTTGTTGATGGCCGATTTGAAGGATGCCACCAAGTAAGATGAGCTCGAGAGCCTGAAAGTATACATGCGGGCTAGTATCCGCAACCTAACTAGCCTGGGCTCGGTATATCGGCGGGCTGACATGGCTCACAAAAGGTGAGCTCGCCCAGCGAACGACCATGTGCTCAAATTTAAAGTGTTACTTACTATTCCAACGAGCTCGGCCACGTTGACATGACATAAGCATGAGTGAATGTGTAGCGACCTGAAATGGTGTCGAGGGTCTGGAAGCGACTAGGTGATGATCACTTGAACAGAGGGACGAGCTGAGATGAAGCGACCTCAAAATCTGCGATCCTTACCGAGTTGCCGCTCATGTAACGAGTTGAGATGGAGCGACCTCAAAATCTGTGATTTCTACCGAGCTGCCGCTCTTATGACGACCTGATAAAGGTGGTCACAATGACGAGTGTATGTGGATGGGACAGGGAATATATCAACCTGTTACGATCTGAATCTTGGGATTTTTCGAATCAATCAAACCTCTGAGAAGATACGATTGATCTCCCTATATCTCTCTGCCTTCCTTGCCATAAATGCTGGCTTAGCATTTGAGGGGACGTGACAGCTAAAGCCGGCGCACGTTATGCAAAAGGGGTGTTAAGCGCATGCCACGTGTAGAACGCTAACTGGCGCGTTAGAGGCACGTGTACGACAATTAACACTGCCATATCTCTCTTTGCATAACCGTTCCCCTTTCCATTTTCATTTCACTATTTGCTTGAAACTTATTGATATTCTCTGTAACGAAGCACTTCCGGCTTGAAGAACAGAGCACCAGACCACATAGAGTACAGTTACACATCAATTTCAGGTAAAATGGATTCGTTTAGAGAACTTAGAGAGCCACGAGGTAACCAGGGCAGAGAGGAAGAAGAGGAAGGGGTTATATCTGTAGAGCCTATGACAATGATAATGCCGCCGGCGTTGCAAGACTTGCCAGAAACGAGGATGCTTGAGAGCAGTGCCAGTTCGAGCGCTAGGGACAACGGTGGCGACCACCATACTTCATCGTCTAGCAGCTCGTCCTCTAAGGAGACACCTAGCTGCGAGGAATGGACGGGGAATGTGGTTAGCAATGTCTCATATCTGCCTGTGATTGGAGAATGAGAAAGCAGGACGATCACGGGCAGGTTGAGCAATCTACGAAAGGCGCCCAAGGACCTGCCCGCTGGATTTCGATTCAAGGCAACGCTTCATCATGAAGTAACAGACAGTGTGCCCTAAATAAGTGGGTATAGGAAACTGGAGGAGATGGTGAGGGCATACCACATCCCCAGGACAATATTGCTCCCGACTGGCGCGCAGAATGAAAGGGCATGCATGGTGTCACAGATGGGCTGGATACCAATGTACGTGGACCACTTTGACGTCGGCCTGCGATTTCCTTTGCCCGAACTGATATTTGATCTGCTGGCAGATTACGAGCTGGCCCTGACGCAATTGACGCCTAACAGCATAAGGTTCATCATAGGCTTTATGCTGTTGTGTGCGCGGTTGGAGATACCGGCTAAGGCGATAGTGTTTAGGTCGTTGTTTCAATGCTGACTGTGTCCCAACTCTAGAGGCACGAAGTGGTATTACCTCTCCTGAAGAGAGAAGAGCCAGCTGTTCAAGAACGTAAGGAACAAAGTGGCGAGGTGGAAGAGGCAGTTCATCTTTGTTTGTGATACACGAACAGAAAGAATAAGCAATGACCTCGTTGCTCGACTATCTGAATGGCGTGTGCCGAATGCACACGTCAATTATCCTCAGCTGCTACCTCGGGACATGGATATAAAGAATCAGCTGCTAGAATATGCGAGAAGGGAAAATTTGATAGATCTAGAAGCCCTAGTTACCTCAGAGCAGCTCACTGTGTTCGGGTTTGTCAACGTGGCAAACCTATTCACAGAAGGTATATTTTTATCATATATCTTCAATTTTAGCCGGGCTGAGTCTTATATATTTGTTTGTGCAAGAGAAATGAGTAGCATACTCGAACGCTAGTGTCAGCGAGCCTAGGGCTCACGAGGTCGCGGAGCAGGCAGCACCTCGCAAAGACAGACGCGATTTGACGAGCGACCACTTCCAGCACCTCAATCACGCAGCTCGTCACACCGAGGATCCAGCTCGGCATCTAGGCCACGGATTGAGCACAAAGCTGAAGCTGTGGCCCCTAGTGCACACAAGCGTGCACGTGAGGAGACCGATAGCGAGGATGAGGTTCCCCTCATGCGATGTAGGACAAGTTTGGGGACTCAGCCTGCGCAGATGACTCAGGCTACAGCGGCGCGCTCATCAAGCGTGCCATCTACCACGGCCCGGGTAGCACGGAGCCCACGCCTGCGTTGACCTCAGTGTCGACGGCCCGGATTCCCTATCTAGACGACTTCAGCTATGTGAAGCACGATTGCCAGCCCGCCATGGTGCAAGGCATGTAGAGTTTTGTACCTCCCGTGGATCGTCAGCGAGCAAGGACTTTTGTGCAGTAGCATGGCGGGCAGGTCGCCATGGTAAAGCTAATGGACGTGAGTATTTACCCACGCTTGCGTAATTGTTTTACTATTCCATTCTAGAGACTAACAGTTATTGCTGTTTGGCAGGCGTTCAGCTACGCGGTAGCGCTGCTCGAGAGTGAGCAGGGGGCTCGCTCTCAAAATAATGAGCTCAGCGCCAATTGCAAGCAGTTGGCCGCAAAGAAGGCCAGCCTTGTGGATGATGTTAATCGTCTACAAGGCTCGGAGATGGCCAATCGAGCTGCTGCAGCGGAGAGCCGAGCAGATGAGCTCGCCAACAGAAATAAC